TGTCTAGTGTTTGTCTGTAGCCTGCATTCACCCGAGGATGCTGACATCCGAACAAGGATCCTAAGCAAAATCGAACATTGTCCTAACATGACCCTGCAAGAAGTAGCGACCGAATGTCAAAGGATAGTGAATTTAAAGCATGATACCTCGATGGTGGAGAACGGTGACCGGTTCCTTCATGTTCATGCAGTCGAGAGAAAGACCTCAAAAGGTTCCAGCACGCAGAATGATCATAATCACAGCGAAAAACCCCCATCCCCATGCTGGTTATGTGGCGGTTGGCACTTCAAAAGGTTTTTGTCCGTTTAAAAATCATCGTTGCACTATGTGTTCCAGAAAAGGGCACAAAGAAAGTCATTGCAAAACCCGAAAACGCCGTCAACAGAAAGTGCATTCTAAAAGATTCAAGCCACAAACAGCAAAAGTAACAGTAGCTCTTCACCAAGCCGGCTCCCATCACCGCAGAAGGTATATTTCTCTCAAGATTAATGGGTGTGATGCTCGCTTACAACTAGACACAGCCTCCGATATAACACTTATAAGCAGGAGAACGAGGGAGAAAATTGGGAGACCGAGAATTTATCCAACTCGTCAATCAGCACATAGTGCGTCTGGGGGAATTCTATACATTGCTGGTGAAATTCATTGTGAAGTCACGGTCAAAAATTTTACGGAGAAGGGCGTAATTTTTCTGACAGACCGTCCATCACTCGACTTATTGGGGCTTGATTGGATAGAAAAGTTGAAGTTAACAGACCGCCCCATAGACTCGATCTGCAACAACGTCAGTACGTCGAAATTGAGAAGGACACATTCAAAAGAGCACTACTGAAAGGGGAAGGAGAGGGGACAAGTCAGCCTAACCCTATTGTCCCAGAAGGAAAATCCCCTGCTGAAGCGATGTTCGGGAGAAGCATCCGAACTACATTCGACGTCACGTTACCACCTAAACAAATGGATGGACGCAAACAAAATCAGAATATCCGCAGATTTAATGTCAGTGATAAAGTGCTCGTCAAATCATACACTGGGAAAAATCGTTGGGAACCGGGAGTCATTGGGAAGAGAATGGGGAATGTTTTATACAAAGTGCGTGGGACTTTCGGATTATGTATTATACACATTAGTCAAATACGTAGAGAGAAAAGGACTCTAGACATGGTTGATAGTCAAGTGAGGCTTCCGCTAGATATAATTACAGATACTCCATTGACAGGAACCCCAAAAGTCAATCATAGACGCGGGATACCAAGAAAGTCCGAAAATAGCAGAAAACCAGTTATCAAGCTGCAAGTAGACCCGAAGGAGAGGTCTTATTTTTTTGAAAGGGGGGAGGTGTTAAGTCGGCTTTCCGAGAACTGCAACAGAGCCTCCGGAGGCCCTGAAGGAACCGAAGAGTCTTGGCCAATCAGAGCACGATGGAGCTTTCTAGAATGCCAACGTGGCGTGCTACTATTGGTCAGTAGCATAATATGTCTTTTAGCGGATTGGCCAAGATATGATGTTGATTTAACAAATGTTAACATCTATAAATACCCGTGTTTTTCTGTACAAAAACGAACCTTGAAGTAAAGTACTTTTCGCATACTTTGCGCCTTCTCTCTCGTGTTCAGGTCGCTGTATAGTTCTAGCTTGGGGGTCTTCAAGAATAGCTTAGGAATCGGGTATAGCGTTCTAAATCTCAAGACTTATCAGTGGCGATGGGGATGACTACAATGAATATTTCTTTGGAGCAGCTAGAAGCTTATATGGTGCGTCAAGAAAAGAGGTTTGAACAATCGCAAATCAGAATAATGGAAGCCTTGATGCAGAAATTGTGCCTGTCACAACAAAACCCTGCTTCTGGTGAATCACAAATATCTCATACTGATTCAATCATAAATGCCATACATGAATTTAATTTTGATGATGCAGCAGGTGTAACATTTGATTCCTGGTTTAAAAAGCATGAAGATTTATTCTATATTGATCTCTGCAAACTTGATGACGCTTCAAAAGTCAGAATACTTTTAAGAAAACTTGGGACTGTGGAACATGAACGCTATAGCAACTTCATTCTTCCGAAGAATCCACGAGACTTTAGTTTTGATGAAACAGTTAAAACCCTGTCTCAAATCTTTGGAGAACAATCATCTCTATTTAATATCCGTTATCAATGCTTGAAGATAACGAAAGAACCAGGAGATGACTGGGTGAAACATGCAGGAATGGTGAACCGAGAATGTGAGAGGTTCAAATTGTCTTCTATGACTAAAGACCAGTTTAAATGTCTAGTGTTTGTCTGTAGCCTGCATTCACCCGAGGATGCTGACATCCGAACAAGGATCCTAAGCAAAATCGAACATTGTCCTAACATGACCCTGCAAGAAGTAGCGACCGAATGTCAAAGGTTAGTGAATTTAAAGCATGATACCTCGATGGTGGAGAACGGTGACCGGTTCCTTCATGTTCATGCAGTCGAGAGAAAGACCTCAAAAGGTTCCAGCACGCAGAATGATCATAATCACAGCGAAAAACCCCCATCCCCATGCTGGTTATGTGGCGGTTGGCACTTCAAAAGGTTTTGTCCGTTTAAAAATCATCGTTGCACTATGTGTTCCAGAAAAGGGCACAAAGAAAGTCATTGCAAAACCCGAAAACGCCGTCAACAGAAAGTGCATTCTAAAAGATTCAAGCCACAAACAGCAAAAGTAACAGTAGCTCTTCACCAAGCCGGCTCCCATCACCGCAGAAGGTATATTTCTCTCAAGATTAATGGGTGTGATGCTCGCTTACAACTAGACACAGCCTCCGATATAACACTTATAAGCAGGAGAACGTGGGAGAAAATTGGGAGACTGAGAATTTATCCAACTCGTCAATCAGCACATAGTGCGTCTGGGGGAATTCTATACATTGCTGGTGAAATTCATTGTGAAGTCACGGTCAAAAATTTTACGGAGAAGGGCGTAATTTTTCTGACAGACCGTCCATCACTCGACTTATTGGGGCTTGATTGGATAGAAAAGTTGAAGTTAACAGACCGCCCCATAGACTCGATCTGCAACAACGTCAGTACGTCGAAATTTGAGAAGGACACATTCAAAAGAGCACTACTGAAAGGGGAAGGAGAGGGGACAAGTCAGCCTAACCCTATTGTCCCAGAAGGAAAATCCCCTGCTGAAGCGATGTTCGGGAGAAGCATCCGAACTACATTCGACGTCACGTTACCACCTAAACAAATGGATGGACGCAAACAAAATCAGAATATCCGCAGATTTAATGTCAGTGATAAAGTGCTCGTCAAATCATACACTGGGAAAAATCGTTGGGAACCGGGAGTCATTGGGAAGAGAATGGGGAATGTTTTATACAAAGTGCGTGGGACTTTCGGATTATGTATTATACACATTAGTCAAATACGTAGAGAGAAAAGGACTCTAGACATGGTTGATAGTCAAGTGAGGCTTCCGCTAGATATAATTACAGATACTCCATTGACAGGAACCCCAAAAGTCAATCATAGACGCGGGATACCAAGAAAGTCCGAAAATAGCAGAAAACCAGTTATCAAGCTGCAAGTAGACCCGAAGGAGAGGTCTTATTTTTTTGAAAGGGGGGAGGTGTTAAGTCGGCTTTCCGAGAACTGCAACAGAGCCTCCGGAGGCCCTGAAGGAACCGAAGAGTCTTGGCCAATCAGAGCACGATGGAGCTTTCTAGAATGCCAACGTGGCGTGCTACTATTGGTCAGTAGCATAATATGTCTTTTAGCGGATTGGCCAAGATATGATGTTGATTTAACAAATGTTAACATCTATAAATACCCGTGTTTTTCTGTACAAAAACGAACCTTGAAGTAAAGTACTTTTCGCATACTTTGCGCCTTCTCTCTCGTGTTCAGGTCGCTGTATAGTTCTAGCTTGGGGGTCTTCAAGAATAGCTTAGGAATCGGGTATAGCGTTCTAAATCTCAAGACTTATCAGTGGCGATGGGGATGACTACAATGAATATTTCTTTGGAGCAGCTAGAAGCTTATATGGTGCG